GTATCGTGTCAGACCCGTGTTTTATTTTACAGCAGCTTTACAGTGAGAGAATCCTGCCGCTAGAAACAGAAATGATTCACCTTCACTCACTGCAGGAGGAGCAGCTTAAACCATGATTAATGTCTCACTAACCCTAACCCTCTGAGTTATACCTCTCTCTGTCTCGAGTGAAGGAGACAGAGAGCCTCAGAATCCTCTTTATGTTTATATTGTCTTACAGATGTGTCCATAGACAGCTGTGGACAGCTGTGGACACCACGGGTATGTGGTTATTTTCATCTATACTCCAGTTGCAGGACGTCTTCCACACATGTGCAGTAAGACTCAAACAAAAATGGTGACATCTATGCAGGAAGAACAGGAAGGTGAAGAAGAAGAAGAAGGAACAGAAGAAGAAAAGCAGCCTAGTGTTGAGGTGAGGGTGGAGCTCCTTCAAACAGCTCCATCTTTGTTTCCAGCTCATGTCCTGAAGAGTTGTGGCTATGTGGACGTCCACACCACAGACTCACGTTCACCCTGTGATGATGAAGGTAACGTCACGTGACCCTCGTGTTGTCACGGATACGGAAGTGTATCATTGGTGTTACAGAGGAGCAGGTTCCTCAACCTCCTTTAAATATAATGACAAAGTGACAGTTCACTAATGAGACAAACGGGAATCCTGCTGCTGATGAAGGTCATGGGTAACGATTGAAAGCTCTAGAACCAGCACTAAATGGATGTTTCCTTTAGTGTCTGAACGTACAGCTGACCTCTGTACGTTCCCTTCGTGCCGCCCAGAGCTACTTCCTGTCTGTGTCCACTGAGGCTCCACCTCTAAACCTTTGCGTGTCCAGTGTGAATACACAGGACGTTGGACAGTCTCTGACCTGTGTCGTGGTCGCTGCTCGGGTCAGGACACTGATGAACACGTCACCTGATCTGAGACCTGAGTCAGTACCATGTGTATTAATCCGCCTCTGAAAATAGTCCCCAGTTAATGTGCTGTTTACATGAGTGAAGTGTTTCAGTAGGAACCAATGAGCTGAGAGAGCAGACAGAGGAGGGAAGGTGTTTAGAGACGGACCAACTCACAATAAGAACAAACAGAAAAACACAGACTGATCCTTTAGTGTGTGTGTGTGTGTGTGTGTGTGTGTGTGTGTGTGTGTGTGTGTGTGTGTTGTGGTTCAGTCTGGATGAATGAAGCTGACTGACACACCCTGGAAAATAACAGTCTCTCTCTCTGTCTTCTCTATATTTGTTCCTCTTTTCTTTCTCTCTTTCTCCTTCATGTTCTTTAATCTTTCACTCATTTTCCTCGTCCTGTTTTCCCTCTCTCTCTCCCTCTCTCTGTCTCTCCCTCTCTCTCTCCCTCTCTCTCTCTGTCTCTCTCTCTCTCTCCCTCTCTCTCCCTCTCCCTCTCTCTCTCTCTCCCTCCCTCTCTCTCTCTCTCTCTCCCTCCCTCCCTCTCTCTCTCTCTCCCTCTCTCTCTCTCCTGGTCAGTGACTCAGTGTTTTCAGCCTGTCTCTGTTGGGTTGAACCATCTGAGCTCAGAGATGGGGGTGTCCACATTGTTTTTCTCTCCTTTGATGAAAATGAATGAGATCTTTGGAGAGAGAGAGAGACAGACAGACAGACAGACAGATGGAGACAGACAGAGAGAGACAGACAGACAGACAGATGG